CATTTAGACACTTGTGAACTGTCAGTTGACGTTTTGAGTCTTTATTTCCACTTTCAATCACTGCATGATAGAAGATAGCACAATAGCAATCAAGATAAACAAGTATTTCACATTCACCAACTTTATGATATCTTCAGGTCAGACTATAAACAGTAATAAAAGCATTTGATTGTAAAAAGGATTATTGTTAATCAGATTCTCAGTAAGTACCATTTTTTCTTTATTCTAATGCAGACATTTATTTGAAATTTTCTTCTCAAAAATTGGGTAGCAAGTCAATTTAATGCAACCTTGTTTGCATTGTTTGCTTTTCACTCTGCTTGGCAATTTGTATGTATTATGACGTTGGTATAAACACAGTACACATTCCTTTCACTCTTCAGTTTGTTGATTCAGTTACCAGATACATAGGATGACAATTTCATGTTTGTGCACACTGACATAAAAACTCACCTTTATAATGTTGATCATACAGTAATTTTCACTGTGATTTTGTATTGGTCTACAGATTCTCTGTACTCGATAATGGAATCATGAATGAATACTTCATGAAGCACTATAAACATGGAACATAAAACACTTTTCAAAACATGCATTTATTACTGTTTAAATACATTAACTTTTTGTGGCTGCATTTTACTTTCTGGCTCTGTTACATATATGAGGGAAAGTAGGGCAACTGGTCAAGAAATGACTCCCCAAGATTTTTACTTTTTGGACTCGAGACATTGAGAAATGCAAAAAATTGCAGAGGTTTTTCTGTATGTATGGATGTTTGTTTGTTTGTGGGGGGAGCACAAGTTTGTTCACCCTCTTTGAAGCTTAGTTAACAACTCCTATGCTTTTTGTTGGAAATTTCTGAAATTTTGCAGGGAGTTGAGAGGTTTGCATATTAGGAAAATTGATGTTATTACATTTTGATGGTTAAAGGTCAAAGGGGTGGGGAGATAATGGGGGTCGGGTATCATATCTTGAGTATGGTCGGACTTAATGACGACTTTACTCATTATTAGCATTTACAATTTTATAAAACTCATCCCTATCTTGAAAATTAAGCCTTTTGTCATTTTATAATAAACTAGCTGCAAGGACCGGCTTTGCTGGGCAAAAAGTAACGATAGTGAAGATTAAGATAATTACATTATAGCTAATCTTACCCGTTTTCACATAATGCAAGAATTAGATCCCCCGTTTCCAGACTAATTAGAGAATTTTTATGTTTAGTCAAACGAACTATTTTCAACGTTTCTGGAACGTTTACAATCGTTCTATAATCGAACCAATATTCGAATTTTATGTTTGAATTTAATTCGAATTAAATTCGAACAAATTCGAACAAAACATTCGAAATAGAAAGCCACTTTCAACCACTTTCAGCCTCATATCTCCCGCACCCTTATAGCTATCGAGACGCAACCACCCCTATGCACGAATGGAGACTTGGGGCTACCACCACATACAAACAGCATTCACGTGTGATGTGTAGTTTTGGCGGAAAAGTGAAATATAGGGACATACATGTCCATTTTTATGTATATATATATAGATATAGATATAAAAAGTTTTTTTTAATCAAATATCATAACAGATGGTGCCACTAAAGGTTTAATTGTTGCCAGGAAACTTAACCAACTTGTTGCTGGATTTTTTATTTAAAAGTGCACATTACTATTTTGGGTTTTCGGCATGTCAAAAATCAGGTTGAATTTGATTTTATGGTGCTTTTGAATCAATGAAATATGGTATGTTGTTTAGGCTAAACAGGAAAGCACTAATTGGAGGACAAAGTTGATGGATTAATACTCTCATGTATAATAATTGAGGAAGATTTAAGTTTTTACAGTTTTTCCCCTTTACGTGTTTATTTTTCAAAAATATGTTGGAAACATCAAAGGACTTAACATTGCATGAGAAATAGTTTAAAATATGAATTGTTTAGAACTGTTTATGAAAAGTTGAAAATTTAACTTTTTTTCTCCACTTTTTTCTGTATTAATAAAAACAACGTTTTATAAAATGGAATATCAAAACAGAAAATTCTGACCATCAAATTCTATTTTAGAGTGGTTTTACTGTTTGTCCAAAAATATTGCTAGTCATTCATTTGTACTGTTTTGACATTATTTAATGACCTAATGGTTCTATTTTTAAGCCATTAAGCCTACTGGCTTATAAATTTTCCCATGAACAAATATCAAGTATTAATATTCTAATTTTGATATTTATTTACAATGATGTGAAACTGCCTAAATGATTATGCAAATCCAATAACATTAATGATGTGACCTTGTAAGTTGTCTTAAAAAATGTCTTGACTATGTGAAAATAAGAAGAAATTTGATTACTGAAATTGTTTTCTTTTTTTAGTTCATGTTTTTCACCTCTACCCAAGGGATAGAAGAAAAGAAACAATAACTTAAAAGTAATATTCATTTCTATTTTCTAAAGGTTGCACTTTGTAATAGGTGCAACTTTTTTTCAATACCAGAAATTTAAAATTTGACCTGGGCCTTAGACTTGTTCAAATTTTGACGACAGATACGGATATACTGGACCACCTTGCTGCAGCTGTCGTGAGCCTGGTGGCAATAGGTATATGATTAAAATGACCCTCTTACTGTTCACGGGGTGGAAAGAGAAAAACAGAAATGAAAATTCACATTACAATTAGTGATCCAACTTCTCGCAAGGAAAAAAGGATAATTAAAAAAACTAGAACTTGTCCATTTTGCAGAGCATTTCTGAATAATTTTTAAAAATAACTGAAATTTTGTAAAGTATGGAAAATTCTAAACTATTGACAATCCTGTTGACCACATGCTAACATTAAATGTCATACTAGTGGTTAAGCTGATGAAGTAAAACAATTTTTTTGCAGTACAATAGTTTAAATTAAAATATTTGTTAAAACAGTTTAACCAGTGTAAAGTTATTGTTTACATAAATAATAATAATGAAATGTCAAAGTCAAGGCAACAATCAGTGGTAATGGCAATGAGGGATTTGGTAATTTTCTTACTGTATATTGTGGTGATAGATGAGTTTCTTTTTTAATCAAAATTTTTTCCAGTGATAGTGAAACTGCAATCAGAATCAGCACGTCTACAACATGTGATCTAGATTCTGCCAACGATAAAAGTTTAGGGCTGTCAAGAGGAAAGGGCTGCATATTTTTTCCAAACTCATAAAATTAAAATCTCTAAGGCTGATTTTTATTAATAACTAGTTGAGGTATCTGGATATGTTATAAGTACACATAAACTTACAATGTAAAAATTGCTTTCAGTTGACCTATTATATTTCACACTATAGCCTCAGAAGGATTTGGCCAACCTAATGTGATATTCGAATAGATGGCAGATGTGAATTCTAAAGTAGCCTTACTATGATTATCGCAAATATATGTACAAAGTTTCATAAAAATCAGTTTGGCCATTTTCATGTGATACTCAAATAAATGGATAGACACGCAGACCCGGTATATTTTTATGGTCAGTTCTTTGCCGTGGTTACAAAAATCACCAAATATTGAAATGTCACTGGCATTACTAGTAATTGTCACTGGTAGGGAAGTATTGCTAATCACTAGTAAAATGACCTGCAGACAGCCTTCAGGTTAGAAAGAATATACTTTATGCTGGTCATATGGAGTGCCAAATATACATACTGCTATAATTTTAACAAACATCTATTAACGGTACATTTTAAATAAATATTATGACTACACTGAAATATCAACTGTTGACTTCACTGGCTGATGATGTTTGGTGCCACCAACCATTTATTTGCAAATAAGTAATTTTACTGTAATTGTTTAATGTCATAGAACAGTGATTTTCAATTGGTGTGCCATGAAAATTTTTGAAGGTTATTAAACAAATTAAATTATTTTTGAAAAAATTCCAAAAAACAATAAGTGTACATGTCAAAATTAAAACCTCTTTTTCAAAGTTATAATAAATAATCAATTTAAACTCATATAAACGTGTACATAATGTAATAAAAACTATATTCATAACCCAGTGTTATATGTATATAATTTTACTTATTTCATTTAAAATGCAATTTTCTTTTAATCAAAAACACCATACAGCAGAGCATCGATTATCCGACTCAATTGGGGACTCAGGTTGGTTGGATAACCGAAAATAATGAAAAAAATACATTAGTATAGTATATTAGTATATCACTATTAATTAATTAAATTAACCAACTTTGTGTTGAATTTTCATCGATGTTAAGCCTAACAAATTTTTTTAAAAAATAATAATCGTTGCTATTGTATCGTTAAAAATTATTTTTAAATTATTTTATTGCTCACAAAACAAACAACCACTCATAATTAGAAGATTAAGTCTCGTTTAAATACTGGCCTCCCTTCAATGGTCAAACCAGTGTTGCCAGCTAAAACATGCAAAAGTTTAACAAAAATAATAATAAAGTAGCCAAGACATAGCCAAATATTGTAGTGCCACATCACTAGTGGACATTTGAAATTTGCCGACTAGAACGGTCGGTTAACCAATGTCACAGTTAATCAGGGGTCGGATAATCGATGTTCTACTGTAATTGTCCATATTTAGTTCAAATTATTTTAACTTAGCTAGACATTCGACAGGTTTCTATTTCTAAGAGCAGTTATCATGCCACTTTTAAATGCAAATTAAGACCTAATGTTAATCGTTTTTCTTATATAAATGGAAATTATTAATTTAAACAACTATTGTAACTTGCTGCTGTTTTCTTTAATTGACAACCTAATTACTGCCACATAAAAATATGGACAACAAGAATGTCACGATAGAATGTTTACAACACAACTTTAAATTACGTGATTTATTCCAAGAAAATTTAATTATAGATTCAAGTGTGCTGCAAGATAAAAAAGGTCAAAAAACACCATCATAGAACAAAACTAGTTTCAATTAAATGGGTTATAAGTATAAGTGGGTGGTAGTATTGCACCTTACATATTGTTAACGTACTTTTTTTATTTACAGAAAAAGAATCCCAAGAATGCTCCCACTTCAATGAATATGCCGTCTGCGGACGTGCCAATCAACCAAACGTTCGTCAAAGGCGAAACAATGCAGTGAAGACAAGGTAGAAAGAAACTACCACACGAATAGCTAATTTGATGAAAAAGGACAGCGTCCAACGTAGTTCTGATACTATTTCTTCATCCACACATTACGTTTAGGTGTATAACTGTTAGTTATACCGTCATATATTTCAATGTGTCAATTTTATTTTTGAAGTAACATCCATTAGTACATCTAAGAATTTTATCTAGATGATTATGCTTTATTGTGGTAACATCTGCCATGTGCTCTACATAATCGATGTAGCTTTAAAAATATATAGACGTCACTTTTAGAATTGTATTCCCATTGCCATAATCTTTTGTTGTTCATGAATTAATAAAATGTGCTCATTTCTCAATTTAATCTGTGTTAATTTAATGTTTGAAAATAAACATCATTTAGTATCAAAAACCTTTATTGTTCCAGCAACTGTAAACAAAGCTCTATAGTATTTTTGCAGAGATAGCATTAAAGATAACTTTTTAAACATTTAAAATTCATCTCCCCTTTGTATATCAAAGGATACTATACATTTGGCTGAAATATTTTCGTTTTTATTCATATCAAGTACATTACTTCTGGAAATTGAAACCGATATGCACAGCAAATCTGTTTTTCATCGTTATACAAAACTCGAGACGGGTGGTGCTAATGTCACATTCTACAACATGTTTGTTCTGGAAGGCAATTTTTGGCCAAAATTATCCTACATAATTAAAGAAAATATTTTCTTTTTTGAGATTTTAGCATTGGACTGAAAATTATTTTGGCCGACGACGCTTTTTAAGACTAGTTTTAATTTTTGCTCCCGGCCATGGGAGCCGGAAGAGCATCGGTACACACGCATGGTTATCGGATTCGGACATGGAATGTCTTAAGTAACATCTTCGACACGTTGAAATTGACAATAAAAATGTGATTAGTAGTGAGCTAAGCACATCACTCGGAAGAGAATTCTTCCAAAAATTAAAATTAGAAGCTGCCACTTTATAGAGAATTGGTAATGAGTCTTATTATTGATAATTTGTTGACCAAAAATGGAGTTTTTTAAGTGACATTAAATCAATGGATTGTCAAACAAAATTAATGGCATATAGATATATACAAAAACACGCTACCTTGGGTTAAGCTCCCCTGAGCCACATTATATTAGACTTTTAACAAAGTTCCAATGTTTTGTTGATAAGCTTGCAGATTGGAAATTGTATATGCCAGCACATCCAAAGCTGCAGCCGACATCTGTAGGTGGAATGTTAGGAAAACGGGGACAATGTATATATATACTACATACAGAACTATGTACATAATTTCCTCCATGTCACACTGACGGTGTCGGAAGGATTAACATGGAAGAACATTTTGCCCACAGATTATCACACATTCTTGATCTTGGCACTTTACTGAGTAATCCATCACAATGATTCAAAAAAAGTCTTTCTTGGGAGGAACCACTTTTTTCCCTGCCCATAAACTATTATGGATAGTAAAGGCATCGATGGTGACCGTTAAGTGTTTGGTGTGAACTTCCGTAAAACACTTCCCGCCGGAATTGTATCTGCAAGTATCATTAAATCGTTACCACTTGGCAAATATCTGCATTAGTAAAAAATTCGATGTAGAAGAGATCAGTTACTTACTTAAAAAATCTATCCATCATCTGATCCGTAACTAATTTGGGTCCAATTCCGTTTAATTTGAAAACTTCTTCTGTATCTGGATTATAAGAATAAATGGCCCTATACTGGCAGCCGGCATCTCTGAACAGTATCAGGAAATGTTTGCTAGAAACATTTTCAAAACTTTGCTTCCAAAGATTTAACAGAAAATTTTAAAGCAAAAATTCTAATTGAAAATAACCATGAAGCAAAAGCGTTTTGAAAGACGGACCTCCAGTACAACATAAGTTGGTGAATTTTCTATTGTTAAAAAGTAGCTGTGAAATACACCTATTTTACTATCTTGCTAGTACATTTCAAAAATTAAAGATAAAAAAACAAACAAATACAGTAGTTTAATTAACAATTATTCAGAAAGGTATACTGTACTAACACAATGATGACTAACTTTAAAAAAAAAGCAAGATATTCAATAAATCTAATTTATGAAGCCATTTATTCAAATTGTCTTTCTTGTATTTACATATCAAGAATATTATATTCTTGTAAATAAATACTGTTTGTAATGCATAATGTACTAAATTCAAAATAAAAGGGCAGTACTTGGGTAACATTCATTCTTAATGTTATCGTCATTCTGTTTCATATTGCATATTACTTTCTTGAAAGTAGAATTTAATGACTAATTTAAAATGACATAAGATTTATTCGGTGTATAAAATATAGTCTTAGAAAATCATTAAAATAAATTTAAAGACTGTATACAGTAGACTCAACAAGTCAAAGTCCTTTGGACTCACTCAAATCCTTTCTTGTTGTATTTTATATTTATCTAATTATATAACAAAATAAAATGAAATTATTACTGTTTAATCTGAGTCTAGAATTTACATTAATGGATTTGATGATTAAAAATTAAATGCAACAAGAAAGTAGATAGATTTTGATATGACTACACACAACTTGCAAGAAGTAATAGATTTCTGCATTGGCATTTTGAAAATGACAGAACTGAAACAAAATGCAATAGAATAAATTTAAACTGCTAATACAGTAGATGTGCTTCATACTGCTTCATCTGTAATACAGTACATGTGCTTCATAATCTCTGCTTCATCTGTGAGAAGCAGAGATTATGTTGAATTTTCCAAATATTTCCCAAGTTTGTCAGAAATGTGTCATACAATTTTGTGCCTACATAATAAAAATGTTTTAAAACTTCAAAAATTGTCCTTTAAAATTATATAATTTAAAATTTTATAAACTGATTTTTGTAAAGAAAAAAAAAATCACTACAAAAATTTGTTAAGCCATATTTTCACCTAAGAGGGCAGTTCATTTTTACTTCTGCATGTGCTTGTGTCGTATTGATGTTCACAAAGTTGTTATGACAACATCGGCCATTTAGAGGTATGTCGATAGTAAAATAACATTATGCTTACGAGAGATTAGCCAGGATCGTCTATGTTAGTTGCTATGGTGATGGTTGCTATAAAGCAAGTTTACTATAACCATACAAATTTAAAATATGTTGGCTTAAAAGTTAAAATTCGAATGTTTTTCAATAAACTTTTGTCCTTTATGAAACTAATTTTGCAGTTACATAATTAGAAACAGTCTCATTTCCAAAGCTAGTCAATTCAAATTAAAATGAAATATTTTTTTTAAAAATTTCCTCTAAAAATTACCAAAAGATTATGGAAATTCATATAAAATACTTGTAAATTGCTAAAAAATATGGAAATTTCAAATACAAATACAAAATTTCCATATTTTATAGCAGTTGACAAGTATGCAAATAAGATTTGATGTATCAGAAAATATGCTTGCTTTTAATGATTTATATAAAAGTTAATATTAGTTGCTNAGATTTATAGTTTAAAAATTAGAAATAAAATCAATAAAAAAATTTACAAAAAATTTACATTTAATTTCATTTAGCAGAACACTTTTCAATCAATAAATTCAGATGATTTGTTTCTACCCAGACAAAATATTGATTCAAACAAATATGACTTTAAAAATAATGCTTTTAAATAATTCTGTATTCAAAAACCAAACATTCTATTTATTAAAATCATATATTAAAACATTATTTTACAATTTACAAAAAAATTATTCAGATAATGTTACAGAATACACAAAGGTCACTCTGAAAATTTTTGGATACACAAAAACCAATGAATGCAAGAAAAAGAAAACTGTCTGTGATACTTTACTGTTAAACATTTTCTGAGCATAAGTTCAACAGTATACTTGTGTCCTTAAAATTTCCTGCGTGTGGAAAGTGCCACCAAATCTGGACGTTGAAAATTAAGCTGATGTGAGAACATATCTGAGCAATGATATTTATGACTATAAATCTGGTTTGTCAGTATCCCAGTGCTTCCACCATTTGCAAGCAGCACTTCCTGATTACTGTCCATCAAGAATGCAAGTATTCTGGTGGTTCAGAAAATTTAGACGTGATGGAAACAGCCTTAAAGATAAAGAGAGAAGTGATTGACCTGTAACTGCAGTGACTCCAGAAAATGTGATTTATGTTGAGAAACTGCATAGAGAAGATCACATATAATCCATAAGGATATTGAGCACACCTTGGATATTGGATAGGAAGCAGTGAATGGTATCTTGCACAATTATCTTTACGTCAGGAAGATCATATCTAGGTGGTTACCTCATTCTCTGACTCAACTGGGGGACTCGTGGAATTGTGCCACTATATGCTGGAAAAATTTCAACATGGAAACTGAAAACAAACGTGAGGCATTGTCACTGGTGACAAGAGCTGGTGGATCTACCAAGATGACCCTGAAAGCAAGACAGTCTGCAGCTTGGGTCTTCCTGATGAATACCTGTCAAAGTCAAACGTCTAAGAAGTGTCAGTTGGAAAATGGTAGCGACATTCTTTGGAAGACAGGGCCATGTTGTCACCATAGCCCTTGAGGATAGGAAGATAGTTAATGCTGAGTAATAAGTCATGATTTGTCTTTCTAAAGTCTTTCAAGAAATCCACAAAGCACCCTAAAACAGAATTTCGTGGACTCTCACTGCACCACAACAATGCAACAGTGCATACAGGAAACAAGAACGGTAGATTACTTGAACAATGCCAGAGTGTAGTTGGTCACCCATCCACCTTATAATCCAGATTTAGCATACTATGACTTCTTTCTGTTTCCCAAAGCCAAGGAGGTCCTCAAGGGATATCATTTTGGAAGTCCAGAAGAAGCAATTGCTGTTTAGAGACACCTTGCCAGACATCTCAAAAGAAGACTGGTGTCAGTCAGTGTTTTCAGAGCTGGTACTCCCACATGCAGTGGTGCATTTGAACATCAGGGAGAGTACTTTGAGAAGATATGAGGACAGACAGAAAGTGACAAAAAATGGGGTTGTTGTATCTGGAAACTTTCAGAGTGACCTTTGTATTAAATAAGTTAAAATTTTATAAAAATTGAGGAAAACAGCTGTTCCAAAAATTCAGATAAATGTTAAAACTAATACATTTTAACATTTAGTTACATTTCCATTTGCTTTAATCACTTAAAAAATTTGATTTGGCATTGTTGTAATTAAATTTTGTAAGACATCTGGTTCTAAATTATAACAGCTTTTATGTAGAGCTTCTTTTAATTCACTGAGTATTTCAAACTGCCTGCCTCCTCTACAAAACATCTCTGCTCATTATTCCCTATAAATTTTCTATCGGGTTGAGGTTAGGATTTCTTGGTAGCCATTTCATAATTTTTTGACTTCAGCCAATCCTGTATTGATTTTGATGAATGTATATGTGCATTATTCCTGTTGATATATCCTAATGATTCAGCAACAAGCAGAAGACAGTTTTCTAATCATTTTTGATAGTTTTCTGACTTTTAAACCTGTTATAAAAGCTAAATTTGTAATACCATTATAACTGAAGGCTGTCCAGACCATTACAGAACCACCACCTTGCTGATAACTGAAGAAAGATTTTTGCTCATTTCTTAAATCATGCCAGTAATAATTCCAACTATCTGCACCATCTAAGTTCCATTTTTTTTAAATCTGAGAATAAGACAAATATCCATTCTTCCTTCCAATGTGTGTGGCTTTTGGCTAATCCAGAGAATTCTAAGTCCAAAATGTTAAAGATCAATCACTATCACCATAAATTCTTAAAAAACTGATAATGTTTTTAATAAGAATTATCATCATGTCAATTTAAATTTTAAAAATAAAAATTTCTTTTACTCATAATTGATATAAGTATATGAATTAGTAAATTTTCTTCTATTAAATTATCATATATATATTAACTTGTACAGAATTATACAGAATACACTGTATAAAAGAATTTTGTAAACTGTAAATATCTTTTAATATTTACAATTTCATGACAATTCTTAACTTCTGAAAATTTCAATTTGGAATGAATTGTGTGCTATCAGTTGTTATTTTTATTCAAAGATCAAAATATAACAAAAATGTGAATTAAAAACAAATCTTCTATACATTTAAGTTAATTAGGCTATACCGTATATTTCTGCAGATAAGATGACCTTCAGATAAGACGAAGTATAAATTTTCATCAAAGTTTTATAGTTTTAGCATATATCTGTCCTATAAGTCAACCCCCAAGTTATCAGTGGCCTATGAATTTAGTTTAGATCAGCAATTGTCATCTAGATAATAATACTGTATAGCGTATACAGAATTATATCCTATTTGTAACTTTTCAAATGAACAAATTTAATTTTCTTGCATCTGGCAGCACTGCCTTGCTAGTGTTGCAAACATTAACATTGATTTGAGCATTTGGGTAATGACCTTGACTATTCAAAAAACGTATGGGCTATTCTATTTTGTGGACATACCCTACGCTCTACTAGTAAATACGATTTTTCCATTTTTTTATAATGATTTTAATTTATATAAATTTCAATCTAATTTTTTTGTATCTGCCCTATAGGACAACCCTGGATTATGGAGGCCTTTTTTTATGATTCAACTATCATCTTATCTGCAGAAATATATGGAAATTTAATGATTGAGAATAATTTAACCTTCTCTGTGTTGAAATCTGTATATATAATAATTTAATCTAATAAAATAAAATTTATACAAACCTCTAATACTCTCTTTTTCGTTTCATTATTAACAGCACCAGCTAATACAGTATTTATTGCATTTACTATAATTCCCCTATTTGATTTAGTTGTTGGTTTGACAAATAGTTTTGGACCTGTATATTCTGCTGCTGTAACAGATGATGTAGTTGAGTTGGTATCTGATGCACCGTCACTTGGAGGTCCAGAACCTTTATATCGTGCACTGAGTAAGTTCAAAGGTAGAGGTGGGTGGCCCGGAAAGTGACCACCCGACTGTGTAGGTGACAGAAGATTACGAGAAGTGCCACCGGCCGATTTACGTGGGGAAGGGATATCCAAACTGTGAACTGAAGCTGTATCGTCATGATAATTATTTCCTACAAAAAATTAGAATAATAAATTCAATTCTGCTATATTCAAGTTTATAATAAATAAGTGAAAATTAGTATATTTAGATTTTTTTATTAAGTCAAAATTTATTACTGACACTGAATTAGTATTAATTTTGCATACTAATAGAAGAAAATTAAGTTATTTGTTTTCCTTTTTATTTTGTTTTGAAGTTATATTTATATATTCCAAAAGTTGAAATATATTTTAACTTTTAATTAAAAAAAATTTTTCAATTGACATTTTATTTCACAGTTTTTAATAAAATAACTATATATAAAATATTATTTAAATTTCAATCTTTAGAAATGAGATTGCATTTAAATAGTCTGTCTACAGAAAGAATCAACTTGAATATTAACCAATGAGCATCAAGCCATAGATATACGCTATAAAAAAATTAACACAATTAACATAAAAATCATTCTGCCATCTAGTGAGAGAAAATAAAATTCACACATTTCCTGACATATTAAGCAAAAAGTGCTGATTGGTTTAACTGAAGCAACATCATGTGTGATGTTGCTTTCAAGTCAATTCTTTCCATAGAAAAATTATAACAGACTGTTAATTCTTTTTATTAAAAAATATATTATTAACAAAACAGTCATTGTATCATACTTTGACATTTATATATGTTTTAAGTTTTCATAAACAGAATCTAATGTCTGAATGCTTTATCCTGAGATAAACAACCTATATGATCAATTGAACTTCTTAGCCTACTTAATTTGAATGGATCCTTATCTCTATTTATTAACCATTAACATTAATGATTACTATTCTGGGCTATTCCTTTGAGTTCCGATTCCCCTCCACCCTTCTTTTTGGAAAGTCAATGTCACAATCTTCAAGAATTTGCCTTCTTTGAAGAAATTCATGTAGTAAAATGTTAATATAAACATTATGACTGTTTATGTGATATCAAACACAAAGATAAGAAATAAATTTGGTAAAAATTATAAGATAATTAGAAAAAGAAAAAAAAATGTATGAAAAAAACATTAGGCAAAAATATTACATACATACATACAAAATATACACAACATAATGATACCTATTTTATTGTATTTTATATATATATATTTATATCAATTTTTCAAAGATAAACTATGTAGGGAAGAAATAACAAACTATAAATCTAGTATTGACTGGAAGAGATTGTCTCCACCTCTCACATGTCTAACTGTTCTTTTTTGCTATCAGTAATAATATATATAGTACAGTAAATATATATTTAAATAAAAAATGGTTTAATAACATCTTTTGCATTATTTTTTAATTAAATATGAAACTTTTGTTTAATTAAATAAGTGACTCAATTCATTTATTAGTGAATTTTTTTACAAAGTATCTGCATTAAATAATCAATAATTTTGCAAAAAAACAAAATATTGAATCAAACAAATGTTTACCTGTTCCTAAGTTGGATGCAAGTGAATCATGACTACCACTACCCACATGGATTGATTTTGGTCTTGGTCTGGTTGCTGATGCTGATCTATATTAATGCAAACAAACTAATTTTAATAATATATTAACTTTTTTCTACTTGTTATTTATAAATATTCAATTATAAAATGTTTGAAAAAACTAGTAGTATATATAACTATTTTAATCAAGCTGATTTAATCTTGATTATTTGAACTGATTCTTCTTCTAATCTTATGACTTTATTATTTCAGTTAATATAAAGATCACGGTGAAAAACACATACTGTAAATTTTTTTTACAATTCTTTTTATTGATATGGAGATTTCCTGTTGTTACAAATTTTGCAGTTTATTTCAGATTGTTTACATTATCAGCTGCTGCCATTTTTACACTATCAATGTACTGTGAAAAGTGATCAAACAGCTATTCCATTTATTGCAGAAAGAAAAATAACACACTACTGGCTTCTAAATATAAATATTATCCTATAGTAGTTTTCTGTAGTAATCATGCCTACAGGCAAGATTTCTACAAACATTCCAGGTTCAAGGACATGTATTTAGTTCATCCATATCATCTCAGTCAATAACTCTCCTGCTATTATCCTTGGATATAATTTTAAATGCAACAGAAACAAACAAGAATTGTTTCACTTATGATAGCAACTATAAAATATGGAAATTTCAAATACAAATACCAAATACAAAATTTCCATATTTTATAGCAAAGACAACTATTAAGTCAACAATGTGAAATGCCATAGCAAGTGGAAAAAATCCCCACTGTTGTCAGGTGCATATCAAAGCATATTAATTTATTTAAACATAGTATAAACATTTTTAAATATGTAATTTTAACAATATCTTCTGTAAGTCCATAGTTTAATGAATTGATTCTTTTCATATAAAATATAAAAATGAATGTATGTCTGTCTGTCCTTCATGCATTACTACACCATTTATCCGATTGCAATGAAACTTTGGGAAGTTGTTTAATATACTCCTGCGAAGGTTTCTGACATAGTACAATTGCCATTAAACTTTGGGAAATTGTTTAATACACTCCTGCGAAGGTTTCTAACATAATACATTTATCCTATGACAGATGGCACACATGTATACGAGCATTTCAGCATGGTTAGGAGTTGAAACTTGAAATTTGGTACACAGTTAGGGTACGTCATGAGAACACACACTAACAAGGGATTTTTTTTTAAATTCCCCGCTGCACCTGCGGGGAAAGGGACAGGATTAAGGCTTCGACAATGGAAGTGTTAAGAGAAAGCAACATGCAAGATTTACAGGTGCAGATGCGGTCTTTTGCGTTAAATAGAACATAATTTTAGACCCATCTAAAAATTTTCTAATTAGTCTGGAAACAGGGGAACCTAATTCTTGCATTCTGTGAAAATGGGTAAGATTGGCTGTAATGTAATAATCTTAATCTTTGCTATTGTTACTTTTTGCCCAAGCAATGCAGGGCTTATCTGCTAGTTTCATATAAAATACTTGTAAATTGCTAAAAAATATGGAAATTTCAAATACAAATACAAAATTTCCATATTTTATAGCAGTTGACAAGTATGCAAATAAGATTTGATGTATCAGAAAATATGCTTGCTTTTAATGATTTATATAAAAGTTAATATTAGTTGCTAATATAGAAATGTTCAATTTATACAGATTTTCTACATAACTAATTATTTAATTTCATAAAAACAGATTATGTATGTATGTATTATATATACAGTTCTATTTGAAGAAGTAATTTCCATAATATATTGATACATAGTTCTGCACAAAATTTTTATGTTGGATTTTTTTCATTAAATAACAATTTATTTTAAATTTACCTTGTTTTTGGCCTTGTGAGAGTGCCTGTCCTACTATTAGAAACATTATATTCTTTTGAAGCTGAACCTCCACCTTCTTTTTCTTCTGCTTCTTGAGCCTTTCTATGACGATATTGTTCTAAAATCATTTGTCTTCTTAATTTTTCTTCCTCCTTCTTCCTTTCTTGTATTTCTTTCTTCATTCTTTTAAAGTATAAAATATTATTATTTTAATGTTGTGATTTTAATAAAATCTTTTAATTTTTATTAAAATGATTTAAACTAAATAACAAATTATATAAATCCTTTATAATTATAGAAATTGGAATAAATTTGGTGTTTAATAGAATACCTTTCTTGTTCTCTTTGCCAGGCATATTCTTGTTCTTTTTTGATTCGCTTTGATTCTTGTTCAGCTCTTCGTCGTAATGACATCATCATAATCATCTCTTTTCTTCTTGCCATTTCAAGTTCAGCATCCTTTGTATTAAATTAATATTTAATTTAAAATAATGTAAACACACTCTTGATATTTTAAATTATATTCAATAATTATGAAAATCATATCCATTGAAAAAAATAAACATGCTAAATATTTCTTGTATCACTAAATATAATTTCATAGTACAGTATTCATATTTGTAAGATTTGAAAATTTGCAATAGGAAACACACTGTCCCGTTTAAGTATAATTAAAACAAATTGAAGCAATGGTAATTATTCTTTTAATACTGTTTAAAATTTAATATTAGTCCTAAAATAAAAGTTCTGATTATCATAAAAAATTATTAAATATCACACTACTTATCAAAGGATTATAAGTAATTTATTTCAGTTTTGAACAGATATGTAAATTAACTTTGTCTATTAAACAATAAAAATTAAAACTATTAAGTAATAAGAAAACAAAGTACATCTTGTACAAGTTGTACACAGTAAGATATTTGTTTAAAAAAATAATACATAAAGTGTGGAGTTTATACTAAACTATTCAAAAATGGTCAAATCTTCATTAAAATCTAAAATTTCATTACAATTATAAACAATCAAACTGATTATATCATTTGAACAATGCTGCCAAATTAAATGATAAGGATTTTTGTACACCTTTATAAGAAATTTTTCAAGTAATTTTGTTTAAGTTAAAATTTCAAAACCAGATTTTATTTGTTTCTTCTAATTCAATGTCATGACTTGGTGAATTTATCGACATTTTATTTCTTAAAATAAATAAGCTAACATTTATTTTTGATTTTTTTCTAAATTTCTCTAACAAACTAGACAGTATTTTTTTGCATTCTCATGATTGTCTATCTCAACAATATTTAAAAATTGCTTTATGTATCCTTATTCAATATATCATTTAAATTATTTGTAACTGTCATACAATAAAATGCTTGGAAAAAATTATTTATTTTCTAAATTATTAATTTAAAGAAAATAATAATATTTCCCCTCACAAATGATTATCTCATTTCATATTTTCTTTCTGAACATTTTCAAACTTTATAGAATGATTAACAGAACAAAAACTTAAGGAAGAAAAAGAAAAAAAAAAGCTGTAAGCCAATCTATTCCAGTGATTTTTGGATGACATCAACTATATGCAAATAAAGTTTATTCTGAAATTTCAGAAAGATGAATAACTCAAAAATGGAAATAAATCAAACACTGATGGAAATAAATACTTAAGAAAAAAATCAATGAAATATGTAGTGTTTGAAATACTGTTACTGCTGTATAAAAATTGTAAACTTCAACATAGTATCATAAATGACTACTTTCAATCCACAAATGCAATCTCCCAAGGATCACTAGACTAAAAGATGCTTAAATATTGGAAATAATATTTAATTTATATTTTTTGGTTAAAAGTAGAATTAAAATTTATTTATTTTTTTTTTTGCAGTATACTTTCTAAAAATGTAGCAACTACTTTGAAACAAAATAAAAATATGTTAAAATAATAACTACTTAACAACAGTAATAGTACAAATTAGCATAGAAGATTTTGTAATGATGAAAATATTATTACACAGCATGACTCCCTTCATAAACTGTAAGCTGTATTAAATAAAATGCATAGCATACATTTATATATTTATGGAAGGATCAGAAAATGGATAAATTTGATTTTTATCTTCTGTTCCTACAAAAATTTCTCTCAACGTTGCTATTCTTTATCTATTCATTTTTCATAAAATTGACATTGTTAATTTTATGAAATAGTAAAATTATTAAGATGTAATTTTATGAAAACCATTTCATTTATAATTAGCATGATTTACAGCTGTTTATAGCACATTCCTACTCATTGGACTATATTATTTTCACTGGAATAATTAAAATTTATATAAATATAATTTTTAATATAGATTAAATTTCCATTAATAATTTACACCAATACACTTTTCATCTATTAACAATACATTTCCAATCATCTTTAAAAGATTCAAAACTAAACATATTTTTAATTTTAATAATGTAAATTATATTTGTGTAAAATGAAATACAGTATGTGGAATATCTTTTACTGGAAGTGATTTTGTTTCACAGCCTGTACAAATAAAAATAAATCTACCAAAATTTCAATTATTTCTATGCCTGTCATAATTTTATCTGGATTTAAAAAATGCCAACTATTTGTAGTCAATTATTTTATAATCAAATTACATTTATAAATATTTTTATATAAAACAAAAAATTACTCACTGGATTAGGACTGACAAAATCAGCTCCTATAACAAACCCTACACCAGGTTGATTGTTAGCTTCAGCATTTTGTTGTCCTGGAGATGTTTTAACTGATTCAGTTGAAGGTGACGTAGTATCACCTGTACCAGATGAACCCTGAGGTGAATCATTATATGTAGTTTCTTTATGACCATTTGCTGCTTCTATTTCTGCCCTCCTCTGTTGTTGTCTTGCTTTCACTTGACGTGGCCGAAGTTTTGGTTTTGGTTTACGAGGCTGATTGTCATCAAAGGATATATAAAAACCTTTATCATTTTCTCCCGTATCATTTGATGCCTGAGTAGATGGTTGACTATTTTGATCTGCTTCATTAGGAGGAGGAGGAGGAGGAGGCGACTCTCCCCTATTTGGAGGAGGAGAAGTAATTTTTGGTTTTGATATACGAAAGGTTTTACCTAAAACAGGTTTATTAGGAGGTGATGATGATAATTTTGCAGATCCAACAGGTCTGCCAAATTCATCAGTTACATTTGGAGCAGCATTATTATCATCATCTTGTGCAAATGAATTATTTCCTAAAGCTTTTTCAAACTGTTGCTTAATCATTTCTCCTTGACTTCTTGTAAATGTAGGATAAGACTGATATTGAGAAGTAGGTGGCATAGACATTGGATGTGTTGGTTCTTGCTGAAGGTGGAAAGGATGTGAAGAATTCTGAGGATAGTTGTGAACTGGCTGTGGAATTGAGGGTGTTGTATACATCATACTTTTATATTGATCCTGAGGTATATTTTGTAAACTGCTATAACTATGACTGGGCATATTAGCATATTGACTGTATCCATATTGATTTAAAGAAACATTTTCCATTGGTCCATTGTGATACATTGAATGAGGTTGAGAAGGTGGTTGTGACTGTGGTTGGGTTTGAGATAACCTGTAATCATATGTTGAATACATATCTGATCTTGAAGGATGTAAAGTAAATCCTTGGTGACTATTTTCTATAAAAGGAGCAGCAGATGGTGGTCTTTGATCATATTGTTGAGTTTGCATAGGAATTGAATGACCTGTCATCATTTGTGGTTCAACAGAGGAAGGTCGCATTACAGGTGGTGCTGTTTGCCATTGTTGTCTTTGAGGAGGTTGTTCGGGAATATGTGTAACTGCATGACCCCACTGTCCTCTACGTGGAGAAGTAGGGGTATCTGATAAATGAGTATATTGCTGGTTTCTCCATGGACTCTGATTTACAGGTAAAGATTCATCCTGAGTCCTTCCTTGCTGATTATGAAGGAAAAATTTTTCTTCTTGTTGAGATTGTGATGGATAAGTATTCATCATTTTTTGAATCATGTCCTGTTGACTAGAAAGATTCGCAATATCAGTCTGCAGATCTGTTAGGCTATTATTTAATTGCTCTATGGAAGTTTGGAATTCTTCTACATTCATATCCAATTGTCCACTTTTAGAAATATTTTCTTTTTGTAATTTATCACTTGATCCATTTTGTAAAAGCCACTGTTTTTTTACTAAATTTAAATCTTCAGCAATATCTTGAATTGATTCTTGCACTACTGGCACTGCAGCTAAATCGACTTCAGTTTCTGCCACTGGTAATTCTTTTTCTGCATTACTATCAGGTGTACTAGCTTCTGATACTGTACCTTTTGTTACTGCCTGTAGGAATGCAGCTTTGCCTAGCCTCTGACGCTGATGTCTCCAAATATTTTCAATGCGTTTCTTTTCTTTCTCAATCTTTTTTCTTCTTTCTTCTAATTTTAATCTTATATTGTACATTTGAGACTGTATTGATGCATCACTCTCAGCTACATTACTTCTGGAATAAGAATTTGATTTATTAGAAGAATCTTGTTCATCTTGATTTTTTTCTGTAGAGTCTGAGCCTAATGGATTTGATTTTGCAGGTGGCTTATTATTACTATTCATATTGTTTGTTTGCATATAAACTATATTAATAGCATTACTTGGACTTTTCTTTAATTTACACAAATCAGCAAAACTAGTAGTTAAACCTTTTAAATGTTTTACTTCTTCATAAAGATTATCATATGGATCTGCAATCTCCAACACTGCTTTTTCTTTATCATAAACACTATCATTGATATCTGTAATAACTCTCTTATCATGCCAACTTTTCTGATGTGGTATGACTTCATAAATATCATTTTCTTTAGGATATTCAGTACCTAACTGACTATAATAATCCTGCAATCCTGCTTTTACCTGTACATCATCACCATCATCATCTTCACTTCGTTGAATTATTTCTTCATATAAATTCTCATCTTCATGCTCATCAATTTCACCTTGATTATTTAATTCTGAATCTTGATGCTTAATATCAGTATTCCTATCATCTGTTCTAAAATCAACTTCAGATGGTCGAATATAATCTTCTCCTCTTTCCTGTCTTTTTGTGTCATGATTATTTTTTTCCTTTAACTTTTTTATATGAGTAGGCAGTAATGGTTCTCGAATCTGATCACTGTCTATAACACAGGTTGATTCTAAATGCAATGTAGATGGAGAAACATATCCTGTGCCATGATCACTTATTTTCTGATCTCCAAATTCATGTGTTGATGGAAGTTCATCTATAAAATAACCTGCTAATTCTTCATCTTCTTCTAATCTGCAATACAATATATAATACTTAAAATTTTCAAACACAAAAATAGATTATTTGATTAATATAAACACCTGTCAGTGGCTGGAATATCTTGAGGTTCATGTAAAGTCTTCCTGGAATCAGACATTGAGTTAATTCGCCTGATTTGGTTACTAGATAATTTTGAACCTGAAGAAAAGAAAATATTACAGTTACAAATGATAAGCCATAATTGAAATCATGCTTAAGCATAAAATAAATACATTCACTACAAAAGTTTTTCAGTTTATGCTATTCTATGTATCTAAGCATAATAATTTATTATTATTATTATTATTAAATACCTACTTTTCAATAAACATATATAATAGCAAACTAAAAATTATAAATAAATAAAATAACAATGTTGTCTTTTGGTGTTAAATTTAATGGTTTACACAAATATCATAATAGTTTGCAAAAAATTACAAAGTGCTTTTGATACATTCATTTACTATAAGTGCTTGTAATATTTTACTTACATAATCATAAAAATAATTATATAAAATACAAGCTGAATCAAGAATAAGAACAAAAGGTGTTATAAAATAAAATGGAAATTATTGCAAAATAAAAACATTTATTTATAATAATGTAGTCATGACTAAAATTTCTTTGACTTATTTATAATCAATCTAATCTAAAATAATAATAATAATAATAACTCTCCCACGGTCACCACCTGGTTATGGTGGGAGAGCCCAGTAATTTCACTGATCCATAGGGCAATGCAGGCTGGAGCACAAGCTCCTGGTAGGGACACTCATGCCAGTAAGGTCTATGGGGAAAAATGAAGCTAAGAGTAACCATACCCACATTCTGTGGAGATGTTTATAATGGTAGTAACCAGGTCTAATTGTGATACCAGCTCAGACGTTGCCCAGGTTAACAAGGTCCGTGTTTGTAGGTTAGGCAGAGGCTCATGTTTGAAAAATAGGCCACAGTCTCCCTTGGTTACCAGTAGCGAAAGCAGCAGTGGCCCAAGCATGGCTACTGCAATGCCATTGACAGTTGTGAAAAACCAACCTAGCTTTGGTGTTTCTGTGGCAATGCATCCACAGACCACAGAGACTGGAAAACCATGCAAATGGATGAAATGGACAATGGAAATGAATGTGTTTATCATCCATACTTACTATGCCATCACAAGACTTGAAACAAACATGACAGTGTACAGACAACAACTACACCATAGATTCACACAATATCCTCACCTCATTGTCACCAAACAAAGGGTTGTTGATCAAAAAAGAACAATTATACACAACAACCTTATCCCACAAACAACACTTGAACTTACCAAACAATAGATTGCTGATCAAGTACATCAACAGATGTTAACATTTAACATTAAATTAATGAAGATCATGTAACTTGCCAGGATAATCCAGCAACAAGCACTGATAATAGCGCACACACAACAATTACCACTAATGATACCAAAGATACTTCATCATCCATTTTAGAGTTAGTTAATATGCTCTCACTTATACTTCAAGAAACACTCACTAAATATACAATGTACTACATATCCCACACACAGACCATGTCTACAGTAGTAGGAAAAACACTAATTTATGTAAATGCTCACCTACTACCACACTACATCCATTCACAGTAGTAGACACTGTAGTGACACATCATGGACTGAAAATACAATCACACACAGAAACACACAAAACACAATTTTATCACAAGTCTGACTGGCAAAGAAGAATAGAAACACAAATAAATGACATTAGACAGCAATTAGGCAGGCTGACACAATACACTAAAAACAACATAACATCCAAATTAAAAAAACAAGTCAAAACTTTTTCAAGAAAATCAAAACACACTCATTACAGAATACATTGATACACTAAAACAAAAACTTGCAGCTAAAGCACACAGACTCAAATGATACAAAACATGTTTGCTACAAAAACAACAAAACAAATTATTTACAAACAATGAAAAACTCTTTTATAGACAAATTAGTACCAAAACAAACACTTGACACACCAACAGAAGAAGAACTCACAACTTATTGGAGTTATCTGTGCTGTTACACACTATACTGATGCAGGCTGGATTGAGGAGGAGAACAAAAACTTGCACAACACATCAACTATGCCGTGCTAAAATAAACATACACGACATCCGCTATGCTGCTAACAGAACACACCTGGTGTAGACAACATTCATAATTTCTGGTACAAAAAGTTTACATCACTGCACCAGGAACTAGCTAAACACCTAACATACATCATCATCAATCCATGAGACATGCCAAAATTTCTTACTCAGGGCATCACCTACATAAAACCTAAAAACAACAAAACAACAATACCACAAACCCCACACAATACAGACCACTGATATTTAATTTTTGTCTTGTTTTGGTTGCTATACCTTTACTCTGGTCTAGAATAGTACACAGCAACCAATGTCAACCAAGTATAACCCACTAAACCCAACACAATAATAATAATAATACAGTAGAGCCTCTAAAACTCGGCATTCGATAGCCTGGCACTCCGGATAACTCGGCCACACCCTGGCAGGGCAAAAAAATCCTTAGTTAATTAATTTTCATTATAGACAGCTTTATAAAAGTATAAAAGCTTTCATAAAGTATTTTTCTGAGGTCTGTCTTATCAGGTAAATTACTGTACACAGTGTATTCATTAATTTTCATTTTCATGTAGTAATGGCTCTATGCCTTCATAAAAGACGTACTTTTCCTTTGTTTAAGGGTATTTGGGCAGTTTATTCTCTGTTGTATTCTCAAGCAAACAATACATACAAGTACAGTACAATATTTTCTGAGGAAACACGCATACTTATCATTTTTTAACCCCATTCCCGAAAACCCGGCATTTTCACAACTCGGCCACCCTTCGGTCCACATTAGGTCGAGTTTTCGAGGCTCTACTGTAATAACAATGTATTCAATCTTTTTAGAGTAAACAATATTCATTATAAATATTTATCACTATTTATAGTCATATATTTTATTTTAATTCGTTTAAAAACTAATTTCCAGTGCCACTGTATCTATTTCTTCCCATGATAGAAAAACATTTGTGTTACTTTAAACTAAGTAAAGTTTGAGTATCCTTGATATAAACAAACTATCAGACTATAATTTGCTGTGTAGTTTTAAAATTTTCTAAAATAAATATTAATTTACTAAAATTAAACTAAACTAAAAATTTATTATTTATACTTTCATAAATATTTATCTTATTATTACCTACCTGTCATTTTCTCTCTCTGTTGCCAGTTTCCATTTGATTGGGGACTAGATTAAAACATATATTTTAATTCATTTAAGAGTATAATACATTAAATTTAGCACTGAATATTTACCTGGATCTATTAATATCTGGAAGACTAAAATTAGAACCACCAAAGGCACCCGATCTCAAGTCTGGAATTGGACTTTTTGTGTGACGAAATGAACGAGGTTTACTAATTACCTGAGGTGACTGTCCATTTTGACTTAAACGCTTTGGAGCTAAAAATTTTCAAGTTTCAAAATATAGATTTTAGTAAAAATATATACAATTTCTTTAAATGTCATTTGTTTTTATATTTACCTTCTAAAACAAGACTCTGTTCAATTTCTTCTCTTATACCTGGTCTGTTAACACATTTTGCTGGCCGAATTTCAAATAAATACATTAAATCAGCTATTAATGCTAATATATTCTGATGCACTGAGGAATGTAAATAGATGAAATCCTCCAGAGTGAGAAAGTGAATATCATGAGGAAGATATTCTTGACAAAATCTCTGGACTAATTGAAGATTATACACTGAATCTGCAAGACTAGGTGAATCGCTGAGACGAACATCTAATAAAAAAGTTTAAAAAGATGTTTTTTAATTTATTCTATCAAATTATTTTAAATAAATTTTAAAATAATAATGAAAATTCTTCATAATTTCAGACTATAATTTTCAAATTTATATTTCACAGTTTGTTTGTAGTGATGTATTATATGATAATACAGAATTTAAATTATTCTAACTAATAAAAAAAATTATTTGTATAATTCAAATTATACTAAACTGATGACTTAACATAATGCAGTCATTTGGATCCAGAAAATTGACTGTTGTAGATGAGACTGTGTTGTTTTGTTTTCATCACATGTAAGCAAGAATAAATCAGACTAACATTCAATAACTGTCGTATACACTACAAACTGTTTAACTGTAATGAAACATTGTTCAATGACATCCAGTGCATCTCAGCAGAATTGCTATATTTAACAGGAATAGACTATGAACTGGCCTTTAGACAATCCTTCTTGTCCATTTTGTTCTGGCTTTTTCCATATCAACACTCAAATGTTAAGCTGTGTTTATTCAGTAGCAAGTACAAAGAACAGGCATTGCCAACAAAATATTGCAAATTGAACCAATCAATTTTGAACTGTACTATTAACTGCGACTTTAACTCAGATGACTACAAATAAGATGAAATAAAACAGCAGATCTGAAGAGTTAAACAATAAATTGGAATCCACAGCTGTTAGCACTGTATATAGATGTCTATGTGTTTCTATTGAAGTATGTTATATTGAGCCAACATTAAATGTACAAAATTAATACACAAAAATATATTTTATAATTTATTCATTTCAAAAGCTTCCATTAATAACAATTTGCATTTACATACACATTTGTATACATATGTAACTTAAATATAATAGAGAGGTTGAGGCGCACGTTTTAAACGTATAAACGTGTACGTGTGACGTTCGGCGCCGCTTTCCCGTAAGCCTAAAAGTTTGACGATGGTGTTTGGATAGTCGGTGGAATCACGCTCGACATTCCAAACACCATCGTCAAACTTCTAGGCTTACAGGAAAGCGGCGCCGAACGTCACACGTACACGTTTACACGTTTAAAACGTGCGCCTCAACCTCTCTATTAATTTTTATATTAATCATCACAAATTATGTACACTTTATACTATTATTTGACTTTATTACATTGTGTCAATTAGAATTATTATAATCTTAAAATAAAGTTTTTATATACAATAATCAGACTAATTAAATAAAATATAAAATATCAACAAAAAATAATTTACCTTGCCAATTAAGATATCCAGGGCAATAAAAACACAGTAGAGCAGCTAGACAGCATCCATCACTTAGGTCATTCAAGTCTTGGGCAATCGGGATACAGGGCACTACATGTCGGTCAGTCTGAAGGAATGTGTGGTTATGTAGTGTAGGCTTACGACAGATGGCTGTACAGCATAGCCTGTAATCTTCCTACCAAATATAATTTACCCTCTATAAAGTCTAAGTAAAAGTATTACGTTTCTCAACACAACCCATGTCAGAATACGATTAATTCCTGACATTTTTTTGGTTTCTATATCTCCTTCATGTTACTTGCATTGAGTTGAAAATTACAAAACTAATAGGCTATGTGCAGTGAAAGACTACAAAAAGTATGATAATCCCCAGAGAATATTAAAATTTAAATGAAAATAAAACCATACCAGATTAACTTCTGTTTCACCAGGACTCCGATAAGAACCTAATTCTTCTTCAATTCTATGTCTCATCTTTACACAGGATTTATTAATCCAAAGTAAGGCTGCATGTTTTGCATCAATAGGTTTATCAATAGGTAACCTTATAACCGAAAACCTACTATTAAAAAAATTAAAAAACTAAAATTAATCTATCATAAAATAAAGTTTGTAGGAGAAATTATAAAATTACTAGAAGTTCAAAATTCCAACATTCTGATAAATATATCAAATATTTATATAGTTCTAAATATATAAATACTTCTAAAACAAATAAATATTTTTAAAAATAAATATTAAGTAAAATAAGGTATTTATAGATGAAATAAAATTTATCTAGAAATACCTTAATTTAACATCCTATAATAGACATTTGTTTCAAAATCTGTCTACTTTTTCTGGTCTCTTCTTGTAAGACTAATCTAGTTTCTGCAAATGTTGAAATGTGCATATAATTTAGCATCTGTCTAATGAAACTAAGCATTTTTTTGAAATGTCTAATATGGTGGCTCATGGGAGTGCTGTTGAAGGAGATCATATGGCATGCAATCCTAATATAATCATTTTGATTTTGTATAATGTTTTCATTACCACTGGCTTTGATAAAAACTAATATTTTTATTGCTTTACTCTGCTTGTTACATAAATCTCTGAGTTTAGCAATGGCTGTCAAAATGCCAAAATCCAGAATGTGGCATCTACAAGGTGGAGAAACAATCTTGATAATTCATTGAACTTTATAACTTTTTGACCATCCAAACATAAAATATAGTACATTATATTTTTTTAAAAAATTTTGAGGAGAAAATTCATCTAGAGATTGAGCTTTCAATGTGTTAAATTACAAAAATATGCAAAATTGACACTATACACAGTAACATCAATGGTGTAGTTTATGAACATTTGAAGAAACTGGTGAAAAAAATACATTAAACTGCAGATCATTGAATTGATTCTCTACTGTATTTTGTATGTATCTTTAAAATTTATTTGATATAAAACTCTGAAATCATACAGAAAAATAAGTTATTTTTCTAAAAAAATTTTCTTATATATAATTATATTACTATTCCAGCTATCAAACACACTAAAATTCTTTTACTTCACTATACTTAAATTATTTATTCACTTTATAATTACTCTTATAGATAATACTATACAATGAATTAATTGCAAATTGCTTAATAAATTTGCATTTACCAACTTTTTCACTGCATATTCTCAAAATAGATTAAAACAGAGTAAGTTTTAATCTATTATGATTTACAAAATTTTATGGAAATATATTTCTCAATTAAATTAATTAGGAAATATATTTGATTCTAAAATAAACTATAAAAACAAATCTAACCATCAAATAGTTCCAGAAATTTTTTAAAATAAACTCTGGGACCAATGGTAAAAACATTTACAAGCTGAAAGTAGCTTGAGTGGCCTCCATAACCAATAAATCCAATTGAGTATATAAACTTTTGATAAAATTCAATAGTAAAAACATTATAGAAAAATTTAGTTTTGAGATTATTATTATTAGTAAAAATTCTTTAATGACTAATATTTTTCATAGTTTCATGTATTAATGTTTTCAGACCTTTAAACTGAATCAATTATTTATTTATTACCAATAAACAATTCATCAACAACTATCTCATATACATGTAGAAAAATTTTAATTAAATTTAAATCAAAAGGGATTATCTTTTAAGCAATTAAATCTGCTAGTTAAATTAAATCTTTAATAATGAAATTTCCTAATTATTTTTTGGTCATTTCATTTTTTAAAATATTTGATGTTAATTTATACAAATAATAAGTTATTAAAATTTAAAAATGCATGCTAAAAATATTTTTTATCCATCTTTATAAATATAGAAAGTGCATAGTTAAGCATAATTGAAATAAACATGCATATTCAGAATTCTTAGACTTTTTCACATAGCATTTGAAAAGTAAAAATATGCTTAGGACAATAATTCTGATTTTAATTACAGAGCAAAAATTACATTTTTTCAGTTGTAATCATGCTATAATTATATTTAAGGTGTTAGTCTTCTTAAAATTTTACATTAATGACAAATCTTCCAATTTGTTGTTTGAATGTTTGGTTTTATTATACATATTATTAACTGAATAAAATAAATATTTACCTAATTACTTCCATTACTTTCTCGGGTATTAAAACTTCTTTTATATACAATGCCATTATACTTTCAATAACTGCCATATGTGCACTCTAAAATTTTAAACATTAAAAATGATTATATTAATATAAAATTCATGTTATTATTATTATTATACTTATTTATTTACTAAAAATTAAACAAGATAGAGAAAATATCATTTATTCTTAGTATGATTATATATTTTATTATCATCTCATTAACAATAATCTTATTAATTTAATAGATAAAAAACTTAACAAATATTTTGAATGGATGAATGATCTAGATATTTTACTACTATTAATTGAATTATATTAACCACATTTGATTCAGCAGATATTTTATTATAATACAAATATTTTCAGCTATAAAAAAAAATAATAATTATCTAAAAATAATTATAGTGACAACTGAATAACTAATTATTAAAACTGTTTGACAGAACAAGTAAAACTGAAATAAATTTTTAAAATATGTAAATAAATAAATGTAATGAAATATTATGAGATCTCACTCGACAGCATCAAAATTCTTAAAACAGAAAAAAATATTACTAAAAGAAAATTTTTTGAACACATTGAAATTATTAAACAAAATTAATAGAATAAATTTAAACACTGGCATTGTCATCAGTGAGATCTGGCAACCATTACTACCAAAATAAGAAGAGTCCATTTTAAGATGGCCTTCCCCTCCCTCTTTTAATCTGTTGTATCGTATAAAGTAACAGATTCCCTGATAAACATACAGTGAAAGCCTTTACACCTTGTTTCTAACCACTTTTTATTGATTTTAGGGGTTTTATGTTTTTACTACCTTTATTAGTCAATTTCTTACACATTTTAATCAAAATATTTTTATTTTTACAGGTTACCCTTTTATTACTTTTTAACATTTTATTACATTTATTTATTTACATATTTTTAAAATTTATTTCAGTTTTACTTGTTCTATCAAACGATTTTCATAATTAGTTATTCCAGTTGTCACTATAATTATTTTTAGATAATTTTTTGTTAATTTTGTGAGTTATGCATATGCTAAATATAAATAATTATTAAATACATTCTGTAATTTCTTATATAATTTTACCAATATACATAATAAAATAAAAATTGTGGAGGAGCATAGAACCCAA